TGATTCCGGTATTTATAAAATACAGAATGCGTGTGAGAATAATAGACCAACTGGGCAAAATCATTTATTCTTATTCACCAGAGATGTTTGACCGCAACATCAGAGCCTTTTATGCAATGGTCAAAAATAATCATATCTACACACTGAATAATAATATTAAAAGATTGGAACAAAAACAAAATACTGATGATGCATTTGTAGTAAAGGCACGGCCCGACTATCATATAAGTGATAGAGAGAAGCCATCGATTTGCAAAATGTTTTCTACTATTGATGACATTTTTGAAATGGTTAAGGCAACAATTGCAAACAGAACCGACAAACAGGAAAAGAACTTTATAGATTTAGTTCATAGAGAGAATGATCTAAATAAATTATTTTGCGATTTCAAAAGTATCGGGTATGAATGCAAGATTGTTCACAAAGCAGGGACTATTTCAGAATTGAGGGCGGGCTTCAATAATGTATATCTAAACATTAGGTCACAGTGTCTGATAGACGACCAGATCAATAGTGACATCACGGTAGACAGAGAAACCGTTTACAACAATATGACTGTAGCAATGTTTACATTCAAAAAGAAATTATTCAATCCAAATCACAAGTCTTATTACAGTCCTACCGATATACAAGTTTTAAATAATTATAGAACCATCGTCCCACAAGGCGAGTTATTCAAGGGCTTGGATAAATTGGATGTTCCAAAGCAGGAGATCGACATGAACAAAGCGTTTACAGATGCATTTAATACGATTACCAGAATTGGAGTTTTTAATCAGTTTGATAATTGGAAAGCTTATAATAGTAAATGTAAGATCAAGGATGTAAATATATATTTGGTAAAAGCAGAACTGACACATCGCAATCTGTTTTTAATAATGATACTAATATAGTTTATGGTATGTTTCTTAAGCATTTTATGCCACTTGTTGCATCTGGCGAGTTGTCCATTCCTCACTGCAAACAGCCCCACTTCATCCACAAGGTAGATAATAAAATGTTGGTTGAGGAACTCTGGGGAAAGCGAATAAGCGAAAATATTGAAGAAGACAAGGCATTTAAAAAAATAATAGCCAACTCGATTTTTGGCTTGTTGGAAAAAAGTAAGAACAGCAGTCAGAGATCATTCGTTTTTAATGATCTCAATGAGGCGATCAGCCTTCAGGCAGATGCAGGGGGGAAGTTAAACATGATGAGTAAGCATACTGCCAAGTGGGTTGAAGAGTTTGATGACAACGGGGTGTGGTGCCGTGATAGAGAAGTATCTGAACAAAACGACAATTTATATTATATTCTGAATGTGGTTGATAGGTGCGAGTTGTCCAATGGGTTTCGTTTTATTAAAGAAATGCTATTGCAGTATCATAATTTCAAAATGCAATGCGCATATCAAAAATTGACAGAGAACAATGTTAAGGTATTGAGTGTCAAATGCGACGCTTTTGTCGTGGACTGTTCGGGTTTTAATAAGATTGGTTTGAGAAAGACTCAGCAGTTGCTAGATTTTCACGATGGGATCGGTGGGTGGAAATTAGCCAAGACTCACGATGAGATCCATCATACAGGAAAGCAGTTGTATGAACAGAAGAAGTGTGAATATGTTGAGATCCCGATTGTCAAAAGTAAGAGAGTTAACATCATTAATGAGTATGATGAAAATGAATTGGTTGAACTTGTTGAGAAATATAGGTGCTTGATGATTAAGGCAAAATTCGCAGGAGCGGGGAAGTCCACCATCTGCAAGAACATGGAGAGACTCAAGGGTTATAAAGTGTTGTTCGTGGTTCCTACCAATAATCTGGGTTTGGAGTGCGAAGTGGAAAGCGTCACTGTAAATAAATTCTTCAGTATAGCAGTCAATGACGAGAAGCTAGATAAATACGATCATTCGATGTTTGATGTCATTGTGTTTGATGAGATTTGTTTTAATAATACCTTTGTATTGGCAAAAATTAAGGGCTTTGTAGAGCAACATAGGGCTAATAAAATCATATTAGCTACTGGTGACGCCAAGCAATTGAGCCCTATAAAAGCACTGACTAACACTAAGAAACACGAGATTTATATGAATGAATGTATTGATAGCATTTTTCCTCATCATTTGTTTTTGGAAGAGTGCAAGCGATTGAAGACTCAGGAGGACAAGGATAAACTTAAAAGTATTTATGCCGACATCTTTGAGCATGAATTGTCTCTACATGATGTCATCAATAAGTATTTTAAATATACTGATGACATCACAGGAACAGAAAGCAATGTCGCATATTTAAATAACACTTGTAGAGAGGTTTCAAGGCAGATCAGGAAACGACAGGGCAAACAAAATGAGTTTGAAGTCGGCGAGATCATGATATGCAGAGAGTATAGGAAGACAAAAACCTATAAGTTAAATGTGAATTTTAGGTATGAGATAATTAATATTTCCGATCCTTGGATTACCATTGCTAATATCAAAACACGAGAAGAGATTACATTACATATTGGTATCTTGAGAAGCCATTTTATCTTTGCCTTCTGTTATACTTGTCATTCTGTTCAAGGTTGTTCTATAGATGATGATGTCACCATTTTTGATTGGAACCATCATCTGATAACTCGCGAGTGGCTTTGGACGGGAATCACTCGGGCAAGGGATTTAAACAGAGTAAAATTTTACAAATACAGTAGTGATTTAAATGAAGAGTTTAACGCAAAATGCATTATGAATTATTTTGATAGAAAGGTGTTAGCACACAAGGAACAGGATCGTAAAAATGGCTTTTGTATTCCAAAAGAAAATTATGTAGATGCCGAATGGTTGAAGGACAATGTCAACGGAAAGTGTGCAAATTGTGGCTGTGGCTTCGTGTTGTCAATGGATTCTGGCAATATAAACTCTAATTTGACATGTCAAAGGTTGTGCAATGATCTTCCCCATACAAAGGATAATGTCATTGCCTTCTGTGCTTCTTGTAATAGATGCTTCAGTGATAAAATAACATATTGATATTTATTTTATAGTATTATACATATGAGTGAAAAAGACAAGATAATCAGTGAGGTCTACTACGATCAGGCTGGGTTTGGTAGCATCGCCACCACTTACAAAGATGCAAAAAAGAAAGATGCATCCATAACAATGCAAGATGTCAAGGAGTGGTTTCAAGAGAACGTGGAACGGAAAAAACAACTGTCTGGATACAATTCGTTTATTGCCCCTGATATCAACTTTGAATATCAATTGGATCTGTTTTTTATATCAAAAAATGATTTAGATAATCAAAAATATAGGATAGGCTTATTGCTTATTGATGTATTTTCCCGCAAAGCCGTGGTGGTGCCTATTGCATCCAAGCAACCTGCCGACATCACGGCTGGGATCATGGAGGCATTAAACAAAATGGGAGGGAAACCCAAATTAATTTATTCGGATGACGAGGGGAGTCTCAATACCCAAGATCTTGTTGATTTTTTCAAGGACGAAGGGATCCAAAACTATAAAACACGAGGGCACCCCCATTTCGCCGAGCGTTTCATTCGCACGTTCAAGGACATGCTTTTCAAGAGGGTTGATGCAGACGAGAAAAAGGGAAAGGTTAATATACAATGGGTTGATTATATCCCCGAGATCATGCTGACATACAACAGTAAAATGGTTCATTCTGCCCACGATATGACTCCAAACGATGCCCACAAAAAGGGAAACCATCTTGAGGTCAAGATGAAGCTTGAGATGAACAGAATCAAAACCCGTAAATATCCCCCTGTTAGGGTTGGTGATGAGGTCAAAATATACCGCAAAAAAGGGATTTCCGAGAAAGAAAGAACGAGCTCATGGAGCAGTGTCAAATACAAGGTTTCAAGGGTTGAAAAAAAACTTGGTCAAGATTATTATTCTGTTGAAGGGATGAACCGCCCCTACTTGAGGTCAGAGATTCTGAAGGTTTGAAAAAATAATATCTAAACGGTTCTAATAGCTGATGAATCTATTAGAACTGTTTAGTGGGACAGGGTCGGTCGGTCGCATCGCCCGCGATCTGGGGTTCAATGTCATTTCATTGGATTTGAAAAATGCTGATATAAATACTGATATTTTGAAATGGGATTACAAACAGTTTGACAGGGACCACTTTGATGTTATTTGGAGTTCGCCCCCATGCACCGAATACAGTAGGGCCAAGACGACAGGGATCCGTAAAATAGATTACGCAAATTCCATTGTTTTGAAGACCCTTGAGATCATTGATTATTTTAAGCCCCGTTATTGGTTTATTGAAAATCCCCAAACTGGACTGTTGAAAGAACAGGAGTTTATGAAAGGGTTACCTTTTTTTGATGTTGACTATTGCAAATATGGGATGAGATACAGGAAAAGAAATAGGATCTGGACTAACCTAATGACATGGAAACCAAAACCATTGTGTAAAAGGGATTGTGGGAATGTGGTTGATGGGAAGCATGTTGAAACTGCGCAACGGTTGCCACCCGGAAAGAAGAATGAATGGGGTTTAAGTCCTATTATTCACACTGTGGATGAGTTGTATCGGATACCCCAAAATCTAATTAGTGATATATTTAGTGTTATTTAGGGGGAACCCAAACAACAAACACCCAGACCTCAGAGGCTCCCGAACCGAAGTTGAACTTGGTCGTCGTACCTGCGCCGATGTCGATTGGAACTCGTTTTGTTTTTTTCAACTGAGTTGCTTTGTTTAATTGCCAAAGCGCTTTTTCCATCACAGGACACACTGGCATGGCTTCTGTGCTTTACATCACCTGTGCTGATGTGATGGATTACAAGCATAGTATCAAAGCCGGAATGAGCCATTTTCATCGCATCAAATGCCCCATTGGTCAAACGTCAATGTCTCATTGGTCAAAAGTCAATGCCCCATTGGTCAAACGTCAATGTCTCATTGGTCAAATGTCAATGTCCCATTGGTCAAATGTCAATGTTCCATTGGTCAAATGTCAATGTTCCATTGGTCAAAGGTCAATGACACAATTGAAAGTGGCTCAACTCACATCTCAGCGTCGCGCTGCTGGCGAAGGGACACACTTTCCTGTCCCATTTTCATGAAACGTGCCCTCTCAATCACTTCCTTGAAGGTTGCAATATCAGACCCATCACCCGAAGCCGTGCCAACCGCCAACATCAGCAGGTTCTCCGAAGACTGGATGATGCACTCCAAACTGTGAGTGGCTTCAACCACGGACTGAAGACCAAACATGCGTTCCGCATACTTCACGATCTTTCCCTCTGAAGAGCCACCCTTCTTGGACACATCAACCTTCATCTCATCCAACTCGGAAACCGTGAAGGAAGAAATCATGGTCTTGATGAGAGCATCCTCGGCATTGGTCTCAACTGCCGTGGCAAAGGCTTGAAGTGAGCGCTCCACATCTACCACAAAAGCAAGTGGTGAAAGGACTTGGCGATTGACAGAGGCACTCGCCTTCGTGAACTCCTCCTTGTAGCCCTTGGTTTTGCTGTTCTTGGTGTCCTTCTTGATAGGCTTGTAGGACCGACCGCCGCCCTTCAACTTCAAAATCAAACACACCGTGAAGGTCTCTTCCGTCTTGTCAAAGTAGTCGCTCAAGATCTTCACGGTGTCCATAGTCTGCTGGCCAAAGCAAAGGTCAAAGTCAGTCAAACCCAAGCACTTCCCGGCGTCCGTGCGTGCCTTGCCATGGATGATGTCAAGGACGTTCTCCTTCAGTCGCTCAGTGGTGTCCATCAGAAAGGCTTTGGTGTTGAAAAGAACGCTTCCTTTGAACTCAGCAACCTTGATGGTGACAGGATCGAAGTCTGAAGCATCGCGAAGGTAGTCTGTGTCAATCAACAAGACCTCATTGTCAGTGTCCTCCTCGTAGTCGCCATTGGTAATACCAAGCAAGTCAGCGATGAACATCTCATTCTCAGTCTCATTTGATGAAGATGACTGACTATCCAAGTCCTTCTCGCTGTCATTCTCGCTGTCCTTCTCGCTGTCCTTCTCGCTGTCCTTCTCATTTTCCTCGTAGGCGATAGTTCGCAGCCCATCCTCCTTGATCTTCTCCTGATCCACCTTCGTGCTGTCATTCTCCGTGTCAAGCGAAGATGTAGCCAAAGGAGTGGTCAAACTGGTTGAAGCTGAAGCCCTCGAAGAAGCCCTTTGCTTAATCGTCTCCCAGTGCTCCATCAAAGCATCAACATAGTTGTCCTTTGTCATGCGAACAGAGCGACCACCCCGTCCTGTGGCTGTAAGCCTACACCCCAAGTTGGTCATGGTGAGTTTGATGTTGTCAATGGTCATCTTTTTGAGGTAGGCTTTCAACTCTTCGTTGTTGTCCGTGACATCGTACGCACCATTGATGCGACCCTCACTCAAAGTCAGGATAGAACCGCTCCCCACCGCTAGCGCCTTCAACTCCTCAACAGCGCCTGCCTGCCTGACAAACACCAAAGAAGCCGACATGACAGCAAGCAATGCGGAAGCGCGCGAGTGTCTTGAACTCTGAGAAAGGCTGAGGTATCAATGTCTGTCACTCAACTGTTGAAAACTGTTGAGACAATCAACGCAAAAGAAACCCACCCATCCCGACGCAATCTGAAAGGGCGCACAAAGTAGATGCCGATGATGTAGAAGACGAAGCCGTGGTAACGCGGTCAAGGAAATTACACAATGGGTTAACGGTTTTAATTCTCCCTTTTCCATTGGTTAACCATTTTTCGGGGCGAACATAGGGTTCTTTTTTAGACTGTTCGTATTTGTTGGAAATGGGAAAGGGTCTCAGGTTGGATCAAGGGAGAAATTATTGAGATCTTGGGGTTGCGATCTTGGGAATGAAAAAATGTTGGTATGTAGCTTGGATTTTTTGGATGGGATTTGTTGAGGTGGTATGTAGTTATGATTGTTGTTATTGAATGAGTGTAAGGGTGATGTTGAGATGGGGTAAGAAATGAAGAGGGGTGTGTGAATATGTGTTTTTTGGTGTTGGATTGGTTGGGTGATTGAATTTGAATGTTGAAAATAGGTTGTTTTAGTGGGCGTATTCAGAATGTGCCCAAAAGTGTGGGGGGGACCCTAGGACCGGATGGCAAAATGCGGACGGGAGAGGCCACCACTAACTAATAGAGCCTTCCCTAGCTGAAGCCGTGCGCAGCAGTGCACCGCTCTGCGTCAGCTAGAGACTCCAGCGCAACCCGGTTACAAAAGGAGAGCGCGTCTTGTTCGTATCGAGGGTTGGGTTGTTTTAGGTTGGAGCAGTGCATGTTTCCTATAACTGAACCATCAGCGACAGCGCAACAAAACCCGCCCAAACACGTTGAAAGCTGCTTAAATAAATCCTATTGTAAAATTCGGACTGGCTCCTCTGCTTCCGGTGTCTTCTGCCCTTACGAACACCTTCCAAATTCATTGGTGTTGGTTCAAAACAGGGTGGAGGGGACACTTGTTCCACAAGCTTTGACGTTTGCGCTCTTATGTAGCTGGAACAAGTTGAGTCTATGCGAACGGGTCGATGAAAGGCGATAAGAGAGACATTGAGCAGGACTGGGCAGGGCAGCCAGAGATTTGTTGTCCTTTTTTGAGTTACATGTTTTCCTTGTTAAAGCAGTGAACAGGATTCTAACGCTTGGTTTTTTGGTTCCTTTGTGTTTTAATCGTGGTTGAATCTTCGGCCGCGTTGCCGTTTATGCTTCAAGCCTGAACTTTTGAAAAAAGGCCACCTGCCCACCCTGTCGCTCACTTAGGTCAATCCTTCGTGAACGGCGCTCAGGCATGCTGTGAGTGTAGGAACCACTTATGCAGTGCTTCGCCCCAGCATGCCAGCAGCAGGGCCGCATGCGTACCTGACAGGTCACTGACACACCTGCGTGCGGCGCGGTCGAACACGCGTTGTTGGTATGATCACAGGCTCCGCGTGGGGTGCAGATGCGGGGGTTTGGACACGCGTTGTCTCTCTCCTACCCCAAAGCCTGCACCTCTGAGCAACACCAGTGGTGCGGAGCATTTCGTTGTCCTTTTTTGGGTTAAACAAAATTGGATTCTAACAGAACTGGCGATGAGGGATGAACCTACCGTTGCGCTAGGTGCTTAACTGCGCGCTCATCACATGCCGCAAAGGGGGTTTGGTTCGTTTTGACACCAGGAAGCGCTTCGTCAGTGAGTAGGAGGGCATAGGGGTTGTTAAGCAGCTTTTAGCCGAGCCTAAGCGAAACAGTTTCCGGCGCAGATCTTGGTGGTAGTATCAAGATTCAATCGAGGACTTTGAAGGCTGAAGTGGAGGTCGTAGGCATGACGAAGCTGCGATCCGAGGCCATGAAGCACGAGGTGGCCCCTCGGCCCTCTGTCGATTCGAGGTGCGCGACACGGCCTCCGAACTTGTCACAGTTTACCGATCGCTCTTATTTCAAGACCGAGGTTTTGGATTTTGTGAAGTTCATTACTGCCAAAAACATGTACTTGTCGGCAAGCCCCATTTCTTTTCTGATTTGATGTTCGCACCGCTTTTGCACCACCCCTGTCACAATCTCATGAGATTCAGAGGATGGCTGTTTGCAAGGGCAATGTGGGTATGAGTTTTGATAGGGAACCAGCTCAAAGTGGTTGGTGGAATGTCCGCGAAGTCGTTACACAATAAGTCGTCAGGCCAAATAGCCGCTTCGTGGCCTCTCGGCGGAGGCGCACGATCTTCATGACGGCAACCTGCACAAGTATGTCAAAGACCACGTGCCTGAGCGGAAGTTGGGTGTTGTGTGTTTTGGGAGGGGGAGGGGATGCCATGTTCAAAATATTTATCAGGTTGGTCTATCCGTAAAACGAAACCGATCTTGGGGGTCCAGGTCCCTGTGGCACATGCCCATAGAACTGACGGGCATCTCTCAGGCTCTCAGGCCGGCCGATCCGAGGTACGAGAGCAGGATGCCCAGCTGGAGAACGACGCCTCCCACAAGGCTTTGGAGTTCTGTTTCTCGGCGTGGGGACACTTCCCCAGAGTCCAAGATGTGAGGGGACACTTTACTGACACCAGCTGCGGAGAATTGCTGGCTCAAGCTCAGAAGTAATTAGTTTCCCCCAATTAAAGATTCGCAGAATGTGGCGGATTGCAGCCCTTCTTTGCGTGGCGGTGGCAGATGCGAAAGATGCCAAGCAGATGGAACAGATGCTGCAGAGCACGCTGGATGGCATCTCCCCAACTGTGGCCTCCATCTCGCAGGAGCTGAGCAACGGAGTGGCACAGATCACCCAGATGTCGGCGGAGATGACCATGGTCCCCGGCCAAATGTTCACCGCCAAGATGTTTGGCAACAAGGAGCAGTTGGCCGACTTAGAGTCGAAGATGGCGGGCCTGAAAGAGAAACTCTGTGCGCAGGTAACCACACTCGGAGAGAAGACGGAGAAGGAAGGGTCTAAGGTGGAGGCAAGCTTGAACAGTGCGATCAGCCAGATTACCCAACACACTATGAAGGATACCGGAAAAAGTGCGGAGGACACCACGATTGCCTCCTATCTCCCGAAGTTTCAAGCTCTTTCGGGAACACTGGGGGCGGCTATGTCCGGCACGAGTGCAATTTCTGGACTTGCTGGCGGGTGCAAGACAGGACCGGCGACAGCACCTGAGGCCACAAGGCTCTATGAGGCGTCCACACCAGCCATCCACTTTCCATCAGCTTTACTTGGCGCAGTGGCTGCCGTGGCTGCAGTGGGTGTCGTGTTCGGTGTCCTTAGCATGCGCCGGGCCCGTCTCGACAGCTCTGCGCTCCTGCGCATGGAAGAGGGTCAGGTGGAGTGATTCGACTTCGCCCAGCTGGCCTGACGCAGGAGTAGCAGTTCCTGCAAGAGCTTCTAATCTATTGCCGTTTGAACATATGTCAAGTATAATTTTGATCCGGACTCGCAGCTAATGTGGCCGAACTTGCCGCGCGACTGTCCGTGGAAAGAAAGGCAGGAAAAGGAGAGCGAGATAAGTCAAGCAGCGCGCGAGGTTTTGCTCAGCTTAGCTCGGCCGAGTAGGCCTTTGGCGATGCCGCAGAGGGCCAGGAGCAGGAGGCCTGCGAAGCTCGGCTGTGGGCTGGAGCCGGGCTCCCGGCCCCAAAAAGAGGACCCAAACTGCAAATCGATCCGATTTCAAGGTGGCGAGAGACGGAAGAAGAAAATCATGAATTCAGAAGCTTGTTATATGATATTGTCAGCTCAGGCGCCGCGTTTTCGCTCGAATGGCTTACGGCCCCAGCTTTTGGTCCAAGGAGAAGCTGATACTGAAGCCGCCAGAGTCGGATGTGTGAGGAGCAGCAGCCCGGCATGGATTCAGTTTCACTGGGTGTGAGTTTTAATGGGCTGATGAACCTTTTGAACTTTTGGACAATCAGATCGTTCGGTAGAGCGTTCAGTGGACAATCAGAGTCCAACCACTTGCGAGGTGGTTCCTTGTCACATCCCCAACTTGGAGATGTTTTCGCAGCCTATTGCAAAGGTGGCACCCTACCTTAAACCACCCCAAGCCCACTTAAACACAACCACGACCGAAGCCAATTTGAAACCCACCCTAAACCAGCCCTAAACCCATCCGAGACCAAGGCAAGAAGCCCCACCATAAACCAGCACTAAACCATCTACCTCAAGCACAGCCACCCCCAAATTTGCTCTCAATGGGCCTGGGACCCACCCGGAGCCAAGCCTGAGCCAACCTGAAACCCACCCTAAACCCAACCTAAACCAACGCCTGGTGATGCTAATGATGTTGAAAACGATGCTGAGGATGTTAAAACGATGCCAGGCCTGAACCTGCCCTAAACGGACTACCCTAATCCCACCCCAAACCTTGTCCATTAGCGTCTCCTTTCGTGCACGCCAGGCTGTGCCAGGGCTAGGCTAATGCCAGGGCTATGCAACAAAAAAACACCTCAGCCGTTTCAAAGGGAAACTAAAAAGAACACCGAAACCATTGTGGGGTTCTGAAGCCTGCACAAAGGAAACACCCTAATTGGGGCTAAGGATTCCAACCAGCGCCGAGCAACGTGGCTCAAGCAGTGGCAGACGATGTGGAGGCCGGGCCTCCGCCTATTGGAGTCGGCGGTTTTGCTGGGCACAGGTTTGTATTCCTTGGGTTCACGATTGCCTTTGCGGAGCTGAGCGGCTGAGGATTTGTGCACAACAAAGACACGCAAAGAGTCTTTTAGTTCAAGTTTATAAGAATCATGTACTTGTCGGCAACCTTAATTGGTTTTTAGACACTATGTTCGCCACTCCTGTCAATCCTATGAAATGCAGAGGATGGCTGTTTGCAAGGGCAATGTGGGTATCACGGTAGTGGATCTAATTGTCGGGAGGGCTGCCTGCAGGGGCTAGGAGCTTGCTTGACCACCAGGGTCGCACTTCAATCACCTTGGCGCGCAAGAATGAACGCCAGGCAGTTCTTCAATGCTTGGTTGAGTCCTGGACTCGGAGGGGCAAAAGCGTCCAGGTCACGAAGCTTCAAAGAGAACCCAGACCTTCATCTCCTGATTTTTCTAGTAGGGTGTTGCTTTGTTTCTGTTCAGTGAATGGATCGGTTGTATGGCCCGCACGGATGGGACCTGGGATCGGTGTCCCTTTTTCCATTGAGACAGGGGACATGGCGAAACCGCCGTGGGCCCGGTGTGTCCGAGTGTCCTTGGTGCGCCCGTGGACGACAGGAAGACGACTGGAGCTCTAGAAAGGAGGGCGCATCGAGGGTCATAGTTTATTTATGATGACACGCAGCCGCCAGCTGGCAGCCAGGTTTGGTCGCCTTTGCAATCAAGCCACCAAACGGGGAACTGGCTATGCAAGCATATTCTTGGGCCAAACATTTCTCAACACGTAAGTCTACTGATACTTTTTCTAAAGCATCTTTGCAAAAGACTGCACAAGAGTTGCCCCAATTGCCTACCTGCTGTGAGGTTTGGCTTTGCATTTCAGCGGTGGTTTTGTTACCATCCCCAGCTGCTTTCCTTTCCTGCCCCCTTGCCCCATCCAAGCAGGTAAGGACAAGGGTACATTTCAACAATAATTGTCTTGCCCTGACTTTGCGAACCTCAATGGCGGACATAGAGCCAGAATGTGACCGCCGCGCATCTCAAGCTCTCATGGGATGTTTTTCCTTTGAGCTCAAGCATGGAACCCAGAAGTGCAGCATTTCAAAGGTGCCGACAGTTGTGTTGAGCCTCAGATTGGTCACCTTACCCGATCCTAAGTCGAAAGTCCTCACGCCATGTGACCCATGACTTGCCATGCAGGGACCTCAGGATTCGACTCGTCGCAGGGAGAAAAACGATGGCTGCCGGGGCTTTGGCTGACAGTTCCTATCCCACGGTACCAGCCGAAAGCAGCCCGAGGCGTTGCACCAATGGAGTCATTTCAGCGTGGAGACCTGGAGACGGCGTGGCTCGTGGCTTTAGGGCTCGGGCCGCGAAATGCAAATGCAAATGCCTGCAAAACCCGTGTGAATTCAAGGGACTCTTTGGATATCGGATTTCGCTGAAGATTCATGTGCACTCGTTTCCATTTTTTTGATGAGGTGTTTCCAACTTTTTAAATTCGGACCGCAGCGGCAATTGTCCGTGAGGCCCCTTCGGATGGCGGGCCCGCGAGGCGCGCCTTTGGAGACTCTGAAGCAGAAAATCGGGTGTGGGTCAAAAACAGGGCACCCAAAATGGGTTGCCCTAAATGGAACCAAGGACTAACACCTGCAGTCCATATCATGATTTTTTTTTTCAGCCACATGACAGGCGTTTTCTTCTGCATCCTCTTAGCCTGTTTGCCGCGCCTGGGTTTCTCATGAATTCGGCCGGGCTCGGCAGGCCACAGCCTTTGGGGATGTGCCAGAGGAGGAGGCGCGTAGCAGATGCCCTCACTCGAGTTCCTGGACCATCTCACTTTTTGAAAAACGGTATCAGTGCAAACAAACAGTTTGAACCTTTTTTGGCCACCCAACTCAGGAAGTGAGGATCTCAAGTTGTTGTCCCTAAGGCAAGAAACAGCAATGAAGCTTTATTGCTCGGCGCCAGGGCAGGCAAGAGCCTGCATGGCCCGACATTTTGCCCATCTACCTCAAGAAGAAGGCGCCGCATCACAATCCAGTCAGTGAAGCTTAGCAAGGGACAGTCCCAACCATCAATAGGCGCGGCCGCCTTTTCAATTCTTTGCAAGGTTGTGGAAAAACCGGTTGAGTACCACGACAGTTGAAGCACGACATGCACGCCGATGTTGATGCTGCCCTGCGGCCAGATGCCAAGTCTGAGTTGCCACACTCGGAGCGACAATTGGAGAGCATGCACTTGGGTAATTATTGGGATTGACCACCGAGTGACCATTTGCTTGAAGTAGCAGACACCAGTCAGGGACCCCAAAGCGAAACGCACGCCATGTTTGAAATTGGGCTTGGTGCAGTGGAAGCAGCCGGGCGCTTCCCTCGCCGGGCTTGAATGTCGTGAGGAAAGTGGGCGCCACCCGAGCAGCAGGTCGCTCCAAGGCCAGGGATGTTTTCGCCGGAGACCTCTCAAATTTGCGGTTTCCTCTTGGTTTTCGTTTAAAGCCACTAAAGAAGGGGGTCCCCTATGAAGAAGAGACACCTAAAATATGTGTAGAGACTCAGCCACAAGTCGCGGACGAAATGATCATTGTGTTTCAATGACGCCATGGGTCTGGTCTGCCTGGAGTTGCCAATGTTCGTGTCCGCCCCCTTGCTGGAGCCCGCCGCAATGAGCTAACTGCACTTCAAGATCTGAGTTAGCGCCAGGTCGAGCAGCAGAAGATGGAGGAGCAGCTGGACAAGGTGCAATGCCGCTTCTTGTTAGCGTTCTTGGCAATGACAATCGACTTGTGAGGTGGCTTTGCATGCTCTGCCTTCCGTGGTTTTGCGGTTGTTCCTTCCTCTCCCGCCCATCGATCGCCACTGTAGACCGTGGCGGCTCTCGCCAGGCGAAGGAGACTGCGGAGGAGCTCAGCCGCCAACCTGCGGAGAGCCAGGCGAGCGTGAAGCGTCGGACTTGATTCGGGGCAAAGAGAAGCAAACGCGACAGCTGTGTCACTGCCCGGCCCGGCGAAAGCGGCGACTCAGTTGGCGTAGGAAGCCGAGAAGGAGAAGTTGGCGCAGATGCAAGGGGCCATGAGGGCCAAGCAAGAGGTTCTGAAGCATGAGGCGGGCAAATCAACTGAAATCGTCCGGGTTCACTGACCATTGGCTGGTTGGCCTCTGGTTTTCCTTCTTTCTGTTTTAGAGATGTCGTTTCGGGGATCATGCTTTTGTTGACATACGTTCAAGTTTGCATGGAGGCGTATTTCCGTATCTCGGCATCCAGAGACTTCGGCAATGAAGACGCACCAAGCAGAGGGTGGTTTCCTTGCAGAGAGGGATTTGCGGCTGTCTTTGCTTAGTGGACCCCACCCCCTCCCCCAAAAAATGGAGAAAGTAGGGGGCCTGGGGGGTGGTCTGTTGATGGTCCCCTGTTATGTTTTTTATATTCATCTCAAACCTATTAACCACCTTATTCGTTTTTAAAAGAGGGTTTTTGGGGAGCTTGTTTATCGTTTTCGTTAAGGTAATCACTTGGGTAAATTGTCGCCTTGTTCATTGTTGGGCTGGGGGCCGACATTTTTTTCATTTGAAAGAGGTGGCCCTTTTAGTAGTTATCAAGTTCTGGGGTGTTGGTGGTGTATTTGTTTTGTTAGTATTTTTATCAATAATTTTCTTTTATAGGTTAAAAGTTCACTATAATTATAACATAAAAGTATATAAATGTTATAATTATGGTTTAGTTTTGAATTACACCGATTCATCAACAATTAGTTTAAACCTTATGTGTTTTACTCCTTCAACCCAAAACCAACGGTTTTTGGTTTCCAAAACCCAAAACCAGTGGTTTCCAAAACCCAAAACCAACGGTTTTTGGTTTCCAAAACCCAAAACCAGTGGTTTCCAAAACCCAAAACCAGTGGTTTCCAAAACCCAAAACCAGTGGTTTCCAAAACCCAAAGCCCAAAACCAGTGGTTTCCAAAACCTAAAATCGCTGATGCTGGTTGCTGATGATGCTAGATGATGCTGATGCTGGTTTGTGATGATACTTGTTGTTTGCTTTGCTGGTTGCTTGTAATGTCGGTTTGAAGTAATCTATAATTTCAAGGGTTTTTAAAACGAAACTATTAGCATAATCAATTTTCCTAACACCAGTTGTTTTAGCACGACTGTATTCAGTGCATGGAGGGGATGCCCAAATAAAATTGAAATGGTTTCTGTCAAACTGTTTGTAGTCCCATTCAAGTATATCACAATTAATATCAGCATTTTTCAAATCCATTGATATAACATTATAACCGAGCGACTTTGCTACTTTACCAACTGAAGAAGTACCACTAAATAGTTCTAATAAGTGCATATATTATTAGAACTATTTATATATTAATATTTTCCTTTTCTACATTATGTTCATTGTCATTTGATTTATATGATTGACATTTCTTAGTCTTTTGATGTCTGCTTAATTTACTTTTGCGACCTACTGCTCCACACACTTCGCATGCTACATTCTGCTTGTTTTGTTCAAGAATTTGTTCTCTATTTATTTGGTAATACTCTTTCCTATGTTGTTTATGTTCTTCTTTATTGTTTTGATACCATTCTTTCATTCCGTTCTTTATTTTCTCTCGGTTAAGTGGGTTATACAGTTCTTTGTATTCTTTCGGTGTTCTACCTGCCACACAACGATTGACACATTCTATATTTTGGATATGATAACCTTCTCGTCTAAGTAGTTGCTCTTTACTATCACACGGGTAGTTTTCAATGAGTTCTATCTTACAATTCTCAACTCCGTATTCGTCAAACAACACTCTAGAATTCGAATGTTTGTTTTGCACGTGCTTTTCATTGAAATAATATTTCTGCCTATGTCTTGCCATCCTTTGGCTTAGTTCCTCACACGTGCTTCCTACATAACACTTTTCATAACCAACATCAACTATTTTGTAAATTTTAGCGTTCATATATCTTTCCATATCTGTTAATATCTTTAATCATCTTTTCTTTAATTCATTTTATCCTGAAATGACCATATGGTAGAGAAGTAAAGGCATCAACATAATATCTTTTATTTTCAAAATTACTCAGAGATTGCTTAACTTGAGACATTGAGAATAACTGATGGTTGCGACTACGAATAAAATTATATGTTATTTCATGCTTTTTGTTTTGAAATAATGCTTCGTGATAGTTCTGATATGACAGTTCTTTTTTCACCTTGTGTTTTACTACACCTTTTGACTTTTTATGTTCATCATCCTCACCGTGTATTGTAAAAGCATATGACTTTGGTTTGAGAGCTATGAATTTGGTAATTATCTTTGAAGAGCATTCGTCCTTAAACATTCCTAAGACCTTTTTATTAGTTTTGTCATGACATGGATGCTCAACAGGATAGTCGCTAAAATCCATGTGTTGCTTTATATCATTGAAATCCTTATAGACATCATCAGTCATTGTTTGAATTACATAACTGTCAGTATCAGTATAAACCAGTTTGATGTTTTCGTTATACTTCTTCTTAAGGACATCATAGTAGAACTGATACATATGTAATTTACTTAAATCTAAAATGCTCATTCCCAGAAAAATCGGTTTATCCAGTTTCAGTTTCGCTTTAGTTTTTTCAACTCCCACCAGATTTTCATTTATAATAAATCGGTTTTTGAATGTTGGGTTATTCACGCATTTTTCATATCTTACCTCATTATCAACCAGTTCAAAGTCCATATGGTTTCGCTTGTCTTCCATAGTTTTTCCGTACACCGCGTTATTCATTAATTTGAATAAATCTTTCTCAAAATCGCTTTTGGCTTCTTTCCTTTTACCAGTGTTGAAGTCAATCCACGGTTTCAACCAAGCCCTCTGTTGAAACTTTATTATCCTATGGACTTTACCCATTTTCATTCCCATTTTCAAATAATACTGTAAAGTCTTAATATGAACCACATATTTTTCTTTATCCTTTAGATTTAATATTAACTTACTTGTTTTCTCGTCCTTGGGACTTTTACCATCATAATATATTTTGAAGACTTGCTTTTGATAATCGGAAAGCATATTCACATTTACATTCATTATTTCAGGCGCTAGTGGATAGTCAGAGTGGAAGTCGTGCAATGTTTCGGGATATTCCAAATCAACTTCCATAATATAACCGAACTCATCGTTTTCATTCCATTTTTCAACAATGGGAGTTTTCTTTGCCCACTTGATATTTTTTAGCGGTAACTTCTGAGACATTGCCAAACCATACAAGTTATTAGCATCTAAGTAACTAATATAATTTGATGGCTTGTTCTCATCATATGCTTCCCCCATATACTTATTATTTGCCACCGCTAATTTATGACTAACCTGACACATACCACCTCTCATTCCCTTTTCAACCATCTCAAACATTTCTTGGTCATGCAATTGTTCTATTTCAACACCAGTTTTTAGAAGCATCGCGTCCCATGCGAAAGTTGGCAATGTGTAATAATGAGCGGGGTCTAAACCGTAGTATTCCATACACAAGTCTCTAAAGTTTTCAAATACATCGGTCAGTAGTAAAACATCAGTTCTTAAATACAAGTCGTGATACTGTCCGAGTGTTCTAATCCCGAAGTGCTTCCATACTTTCAGTGCCCTTTGATAATCTTTATCGCTTACATGTTCTTCACTCAATTTACTGTAAAACGCTTCTTTCGGTGGTAAAGCCCTTTCCTTAAATCTTTCAAAATCATCAAAGTAGTCATAGGGATAAATACCCTTATCAGTCAATAAATCCAAATCTTCATCGGTTTTAACATACGGGTTTCTAACGCTGTATCTGAAATTGTTCTTCCAATTCTCACGCTTTTTATCATCCTCATATTTACTCAACTTCACCAACTTATCCAACGAAGACGATAAGAAACTGAAACTGTCCTTGAAACAAAGATTTTTAAAACCAAAGGTTATAAACTTTTCGCTGTTCTGAGCGATACATTCTATTTTAGAATTCTTGTTCAGTTCGTGAGCCTTGTTGATGATTAAGTGGGCATCATAGTTTTTAAGGTTATGAAGAAACACAGGGATTTTATAATATCTCATACTAAATCGAAGATTACAGTCCTCGTGGGCGCAACCTCTATACTGTCCCGTACAGTGGCAATGGTCCCAACACTTCTTTTCTCCTTCCTCAAATTTGTTTCCGCAAATGAAGCAGTTAGTGGCATTATTGAAGTCCTCCCAGTCCTCCTCGGTTTCAATACGGTCTTTGACCTCCTTCATTTTCTCAAAAACATCCCATTTCACTTTATGCATTCTTTTTACAAACACATCCATACAATCTTCACCTCTGTATAAGTAAGGCTCACTACTTCCGGTTATAGCATTGACTACATTAATCATAAAACCACACGGACGATGATTTTGATATGATGTAGTTTTAGCTTTTGCCGATTTGCTTTTAACATCAACTGGCACAGTTAAACATTCAAAGTCGGCATAGATTACGAATGGAGCTTTAAGTTTCTTGAAATGGTTTTTGAATGCTATTGTTTCACCTGCTTTTGGCATTTCTATTTTTTGACCCTCAACTGCTAGACATCCCTGTTCTTCGTGTTTCTTTAAAAGTTCTTCGGTCTTGAAACCATGTGAGCAGGTTCTACAGTGATACTTCTTCGCCTTCATCTTGTTAGTCTGACTACTCATTAACTTATCATAATTTTTGATATAAGCGTAATGGGATTTAACATCATCAGTCAATTTAATCAAATCGATTTTGTGTTGTGCTTGTGGGTTGTTGCTTCTTTTGTATAATAAAATCGTTTTACTATTCGTATCGGGGTTTCTATAATAAACATTGACCGATATGTGTTTGTTCTGTTCTTGAAATAGTTCAATCTCATCATTACCTACTGGAAAGTTAACATTATCCCACTTGATGAAACTATCGTTAACATATTTCTTATAATGATACATCTCGCAGGGATGGTCTTTTTTGAATAACTCATAAAATCCACATTGAACGGAATATTTAAAACATAAGTCATCCTCGTTTTTAATGTTAATACAAGCCTTTTTGTTTGCCACCCAGTCGGGCAATGCAATAAAGGATGAACCACGGGTAGGATTGTACCTATCATAACTGATG